AACTTCTAAAAATAGATGAGCAGAATTGAAATGATATTGTTAAAATCAACATACTATTTAAAAATTTGAATGATCAGTTGTATAATTAAAATATAGAATGTTTGAGCCCCGGTGGCTGAATGAATAATGCAGTCATCAGATAGCGCCTTGGTGTGTGGGACTCAAGATGTGTGGGTTCAAAACTCATAAAAAAACAATATTACATTCAGAATCAACTTCTCAACATTTAAAATAAAGAGATGTGAATCTGTTAAGTAAATATCTTTAAATAAATTTATTATTTGATTTAGTTTATTGTTTCTGAGCTGAAAATCTGTATTATAAGTATCAAATTCTGTCTTTCATTAATTTTTCTATGTTCCTGTTATATTCTTGGCATCCAACACTAAGTATTCCTCCTGTATAACCAACTCTTACCTGTATTTAACATGACACAAGGACTCGTCATAAGCACTGCTTGCATACGAGTATAATGGAAGAATAATAATAATAATAATAACTAAAGGCTCAACACTGAGCTTCAGTACTCTACTCATCTCAACTAGATATTAAATAAAATCCCAATCAAATATTCAATATAGAATTATATATATGTTTTATATAGTTAAATCAATAAAGGATATCTATATACATTTTCTTCTCTAATATTTGATTGATTCACCTCTGATTTTGATAACTGCAAACTGATCTTCAAGGCATGAAGCTGATTTATGTGGAAAGGTGTAAAGCTTGCTTGATGAAGAATTGCTAGTTACATGGCAAGTTGTATGATAGAAGAATTTATTAAGCCCAGAGCAGTTGACCCTGACACCCCACTCACCATAGTAATTAATTATACACAATGCTACATACAAAATTTGCCCTTCAAATAAGTATATAAACAGCTGGAAAAAGTGCAATAATGAAAAAAACCAGCAAAGAATTCCACTTATTTTATCCTCTCTATTCCTTCATCTTAATAATCTCCTTTCAATGTGTAACTATATTTCAACACTTCAAACGGCTTAGTTAACCCATCTGCCATGTTCTCAGTGGAAGGGATGTATCGAACTGATATCTCATTCTTGCAGATGAGATCTTAAAGAATATGAAATCAAACTTTTATATGCTTAGAGTGGCGTGGAATCGCTTCAGAAGAGGATAGCTCTATGGCAGATTTATTATCAGCATGAATTGTATAAGCAAGGCCATTGGCTGAGGCGGGGATCGGGTGATCATCGGTGTTCAGATTATTGAGATGGGAAGGCATGAAGCTGGCATCTTATAGAAGTTCATGTAGACAGACAAGCTTGTAAATGGCTTCAGAAAATGCAATATATTCAGCCTCAGTTGATGATTTGAAAACCTCTGTTTGCCAGCAGCTTCGCCAGGCGACGGGGCCACCCGCCATATATATATGATGTAGCCGGTGGTTGAACGGGATCCCGGATCCCTACCAGCCCAATCGGCATTTGCATATGCCACGGGTTCAATGTCGGCGTTCTTGTGGTAGCTCAAAATAGCCTCATTAATCAAACCCTGCAAATACTGTAACATTTGTTTGAGTGCAGCTCAATTCTTAAAGGTAGAGTGTAAACTAAATCTTCTCAAAAATTCAGTGGCAAAGCTCAGATCAGAGTGTGTATTGAATGCAAAATATTATAGAAATTCAATATTCAATTGATAGAAGTGCAGTGTAAATTCTGCTGTGTAGACAATCAGTTTTTCATCATCATTCATAAAATCAACATTCTCCTTTATAGAAGTAGTTGCAGAATGGCAGTCATTCATCAAGAATTTCTTTAAAAGATGCTTAATGAATAGAGGTTGAAACAGTGTGAGGACATCAAAATCTCTTTCAGTTTTCATACTCAAATATCAGTTTGAATCCTTTACATTCTTGATCTTGTAATTAGTGGTGATTTTGACCTTGACTCAGTTCAGATCCTCAATCTTCAAGCTGTAGAGCTGAATGCCATTCACATAAACAATCACATAAACTCTTTTAATGTCATGAATAAATAATCTGACATCATAAGAACTGATACTATTATTATTATTATTATTCTTCCGTTATACTCGTATGCAAGCAGTGCTTATGACGAGTCCTTGTGTAATGTTAAATACAGACAAGAGTTGGTTATACAGGAGGAATGCTTAGTGTTGAATGATGTCAAGAAATATAATAAATACATAGAAAAATTAATGAAAGATAGAATTTGATCTTACAATACAGATTTCCAGCTCAGAAACAATAAGCTAAATCAGATAGTAGATTCATTTGAAAGTATCTACTTAACAGATTTACATTTCTTTATTTTAGAAGCTGAGAAGTTGACTCCAGATGTAATGTTGTCCCCTTGTGGGTTTTGAACTCACACACCTTGAATCCCCACGCCAAGGCGCTACCTGGTGGCCGCATTACTCATTCGGCCACCGGGGCTAAGAACTGATGCAGAAGCCTGACTGCAATAGCATTTTTCACAGTTTTTCATATCATAATAATGCTGCCTGCTTGAGTTTGTATAATTCTTGCATTAATTCACAGACAAGATCACCACGACCCTCATGGAAGCCAGCAGATTGATTCATATATATGTGCTTATCAGCAGACAGTTGAGCGATCAGAAATGCAGTCACCATATCAATTTATAGAATGTGCCACTCTTAGAATGCTGAGATCACCATGAGAGCTCAGAATGTGAAGGCAGTGATGATGAGTGTAAAAGTTTTTGAATAATTGACACTCTTCTGTTGATAATTACCACAGACAACTGCAATTACCATCTCATCTCACATCTTTTCAGAAGCAGAAAAATCTATTAATAGAAATCAGATTTTTTCAATGATTAATTTGATTGAATATTCAGATATCTCATCTTGCTGTGGAGTATAAGAAAAGATCAGTTTTCATTTAATTCCCTCACTAAGTATATAAGTGTAGCCGCGATCAAATTCAATTCATCATGATCGGAATGTATAATTGTGATGCTGCAGCTCAGCAGATTCTTGATGAATTGATTGAAGATTCATAAATATTTTAATATTTCATTCTTGTGTTCTAGAAGAAATACCCATCTCATATATGTGACATTATCTGTAATGATCATGGCAAGCTTCTTGCCGGCATATGAGAATATGTCATTTTCAGTTCCAAGGGTCTCACCTCCGCTGAAGATATTCACTCAAATCTTAAGAGCTTTGCGGGTGGCACAGTGTGATGTGGAATTCTTATACATAATATATTTCTGCTTGGCTCTGACACATATGGCGCAGAATGATAACTTCTTCAGACTGATAATAGCAATTTCAAAGTGTAGATCTCTTAGAGGATCATCTTTAATATTTACTGATATGACTCAATTTGCAGTGCCATTCATCAATCGGCAGTTGTTTCAGAAGAATAGTGGGTAATTAAAAAAGTGAGAAAACAGTGAAAAAGTCTGTATATGAATTCTTAAAGTTATTTAACTGTTCAACCTCTTCACAGCTGAACAGCTTCAAAGACCCTGCATTTGAATTGTAATCTATTGAAATTGTCTTTGATATCAGAACAGCCACGTACGCGACTGCCTCATATTTTTGATCATTCATCACATTGTCAAATGTCGGCGGACTGTCGAACAGAATGTAGATATTGTTGCAGGTCAGATTGGCATAAAACAAGTCATTGTTAGTAGAGAACAGAAACTCAAAATAATTCCCAGCATCAACATGCATATCACAGCAAATATAGCTCTGATGCTTTATAAAGTCAATGAAGATGAGATTAACTGACAGTTCTGATATGTAATATATATGATTGAATTCAATCAATCTTTTACTAACTGAAATGAACATCATGCTGACACTGTGAACCTTCGGAACAGTCTTATTGACCACTTGAACTGTTAGATTATTTATTTTCAAAAGTACTGAAAATCATGATTTTATCACTTGCAATATGGCAGCCGGCACTACTATCTCATATAGTAAGAGGATTTTTGTGGGGTTTCATAAAACAGACTGGCATGTTTATAACCTCTGCAAGATTCATCATTTAATAAATTTCAGAGCTGTCAGTAATTGTCAATTATAATTTATCTTCATTGTTTATTCTCCTTCATTTTTTCCTTTTTATTCATTTTTTTTTTTAAATTTTTTTATTTTTGCTGTATTGTTGACTCTTCAATCATCTGCAGCAGTATCAGAATTGACAAGTCAGCAGTTGCTTCAGTAAGTTCTATCACATTCAGAACACATTGAAAGATTGTTTCACTTCAATCATCACCACAGAAACCACCATGACCACAGCTGAAACAATCTCTTCAGATTGAATTAAATGTATTATTATTAGAATCAGCAGCTGTGGTGTTCAATTGAACAGAATTAGCCATTGTATCTGAAGATTGTGCAGGCTTTTTATCCTTCAGAGGGTTCAATCATGAGCGGATTTTCTTCATAAATAAATGAATGTTTAATATAATCAGAATTGATTTGAATTCCTGCACTTCTTCAATTTTCTTCTGGATTGTAGCTCTTTCAAACATTGAATAGAGTGAATAAATATGTCAAATACTCACACATCTGACAGCAGCATCCATAATTTCCAATTTCATAATTGCAGCATGAAATTTGTCAAAAAAATTGTGCATATTAATGATCTGAGTGTCATCAAATGAGATGAAATTCAAGGACTGCTTCACAGCATAATTATGATTTAAGAATAGAGTATTTCTTTTCAATCACACACTAAAGGGTATAAACAATCTGATCTTCATCATTCTTAATGAAACATGGCCTGACATTCGCATCTAAAGAGTTCAACATGATTGTGTAGATTCAATGGTTCCGGGCATTTTAAAAGAGAGCTCATTTAGAGTCTTATATAGAGTTCTGAGCTTGCTGCCTCTCTATTATACCTCAGCACTGTGCATTAACCAACTTCGCTTTTATTGAGACAGTCCATGTGAGGTGGTTCAACATGCTGGTCAAAACGTTCAATTTGATCATAGATTTGACATCTTTTTTGAATTGAGCAATCACTTTATTGTTGAGTTATCTGAGTTGTAGAGGTTATATTCCAACCTTTCACTGAGATCAGCATATATTCTATGAGTGTTCAGACTGTAGAAGCAGTGAGTATATTATTATTATTATTGAATGATTGATTCATTGCAGCTTTACACTTGCAGATTTTTTCTAATTTCAACTGAAGTTCTTAGACTGAAGTTCTAAGAACTTCCCTCTCTCCTTTTTCACTGCATATTGTCAACAGAAACACACTGACATGATCTCATCCTCATCAACCTCATTATCATCATCAGCGACTGACATGATCTCATCCTCATCAACCTCATTATCATCATCAGCGGGCACGCCCCTGCCAGTACAGTGAGAGCTTTCAGCCTCACTAAATTGTCAGATGGGTTGGCTAGGCTGGGTAGATCGGGCTACTGACCTCACTATGTCAGAAGCCGTGGTAAGGCCTGCAACAAATCAGAAAAGCATTTCAGAAGGTTAAAGGAGCTCATTAATAGAGCTTTCAAATGCTTCAGATAAATGTTTGCGAGCAGAGCTTGAATGTGAAGGGATTTCATCACCAGCAATCAACTCAGAGGTCAGAACACGAGATTGTGAATGAGTGTGTGAGCGAGATCACAATGGATCCGCCATCTTGATTTCTTAATAAAGGCACCTTGGATCAGATCCTTGGCAATATAAGTTTTCATGACATTCTTTCATCAATTGAAGGTTTAATTTTCAACATGGTGCATTCCACTCTGCAAGCTTCTAAGCGAGCATGGTATGGATCAAAGCAAGATCTTAAGAACACGTCAATTTGAGTGTAATAAAATGATTTTAACATCAATATTATATGTGTATTGAATGAAGCAATAATAACAATTATATCAACAAGGAATTCTGAATTGGCAGCATTGTGCATAAAACGGGTCTCATAACCTGTGAAAGATTTACAGTAAAGCTTGCTTGATTGAAGGATTGCTAGCTATGTGGCAAGTTATATGATGGAAGAATTACTAAGTCAGAGCAGTTGACAGATTAGATGCTGTATTTCAAATTGTGTAATAGAATTTCATATCATCTGTAATTCTATTCTCATCTCAGCTTCAGAGTGTTTTGATGTTGTATCTTTAATATGTGAAACTTCATTATTGCCCACAGATCCCCTATAGAACTTAAACCAGAACTTTGTGCAGATCATTTCATTCAATTCATCTATCAATCATCTATTCACTGTTTTAACAGTTTAGAGATATGATATCTAGCTTCATCTTCTACTCAAAATGCAATCTCATATTTTTCAAGAATGTAAATATAATGGAGATAGTCATGAAGTAGTATAATCTTGATATACTCCTTGGAATTCATCCGGATGTTCAATGGAATAATGTAATGCACTCATTTATTATTTCCTTATTATCTTTGTTTATTCTTACCTCTTTCCATTATGTTCTCGCTAACGCTATTTCTATATGTATATATATATGAATGTATGTATTTCACACATCTTCTTTTTCTCTTTCTTTTTTTTCTTAGTGATTAGCTACTATTATTACTACTATTATTACTACTATAATTACTATTGTTATTATCATTCACTATGCTATCTACTATCTTTCATTATTCACTCTTCACATTGTCATCACCCCTCACAGTTTCTAATCACTCAATCTTTGAGAGACAGTTCATTGAGTAATAATCATGACCTCTATCCACAGCATCCGCTGTACTTGTGCCACTGTTGAATCAGAAGCAATAAATATCAATGAAGAAAATTGTAAAACACACACCTCTGCTATTGAAAATGCACAACAAGCATCATTTTTTTTTATAAAGTTAAATTTAAATATAATTCAGAAGAGGACACCTCTTCTGAAGATTTAAAGATAGCTGTGATTAGAAGAATTAAAAAGTTACAGACTGAGAAAAAATTATAAGAACTTCAACACTGATGTAATAATATAATACTTTATTACAAGAATTGAATGAAGCAATTTCAGTCATATTCAAAGCACATCTGAACCATGGTAGAGATGTAATTAGTGTGAATTGTAACTGTGAAAATGTCACAAACATTCTCAGATCACTGAAATCTATACTACAAGCATCTAACATCTTAGTGGAAAGCACAGTGACTACTGTTGTCAGTGGGAGATGTAGTCGGGTACAACTTTGACAATTAAAATTTTGAGATTCTGACATGAGTGATCACTCTTTTCAGAGTATGCGAATTTTGCCACCATGGGAAGAATTTGTTAGCTGGATGCAATGTCAAGTCACTGATTCAGATAAAAGTTTTTGAGATGCAGATAGACAGTACTGAAAAACAAAGTAATAAGAAGATCAGACAGTTCAACAATTTGCTTTATATTTACAATCAGTTGAAAGACGTCTGCAGCATTCTTACAATGAATACCATTGAAAATCACACCTCTATTTGAAAGTTCTACCTTCCATTCACTGAGAATTTGACAAATACACAATCAAACTAAAGTTAAGCTATGATGCCACTCTTCATAAACCTGCAATGGTGGAATCAAATCTGTCAGAAAGACAGAAGAAATTTAAAAAAAAGTCAAATTTCAAAAACCCCATTCAAAGCTTTAACAACAGAAATAATACTGATAATAGATCACAAAACAAATGCAGATGAAATGATATTAGAAAGTTTGATGACTCCATCTAATCAAAATATTGCTGTTATTGCAAACAACCAGGACATACCATCAACTCATGCTTCAAACAATTAAAAGATGAATTCAAGAACATCAAGTCAGATTCAAAAACTGATGCAAAAGACATGAAGAATTCAAAGAACTCAAAAAAACATTTAAAATACACCATTCAACTCACAATGACAGCTATAAACACAGAAAGTCAATACAAAAACATCTTAAGCTTCACTATCACAGTGAAACTCACTACATTTAAGAGTCTGTAAAAAGTGCTTGCACTAATAAACTCTGAATCAGAAGTGAGTGAACTGTGTTGATGCAAAACAGAGCATCACAATTCCCCACAGATGTATATTCAAGAACAGATATCTCAGCATATTCAATTTTAATAATGACAACTGCTTACACTTTCAAGATAGATGATGAGTCTCTGATTCAGAATCTTTATGAACACAGATCATGCAAAATTCATGATTCATTGATAATTAAACATTCAAAATGTGAAATCATGTACAACATCATCATCTGAAAATTTTACTGATCAGATATATTGAAGAATATACACTGGTTTGTACACAACTGTGATCACTGCAACTCAGTGACAGCATGATATGAATGCTGAAAAAAGATGCTAAAGTCTCTACTCATCTCTGAGCAAATTTGATGTGATATAGCTATTAATTTTGCAGTTTTCTTGTCTGAAAGTGAAAGTTCTACAAACATTTTAATCATTGTCAATCATCTCAACAAGGGCATAAAATACTACAGCTCTGTGACAAGATGAATGCTGAAGTAATTGCAGATGCTTTTATCAGAAACTCATTTTATCATATACACAGTCTGCTTTCATTCATTGTGTCAAATAAAAGCAGTCAATTCATCAGCGCACTCTGAGCCTGCATATATCAATTACTAAGAATTGAATGAAAGTTATCAACAGTGTATCACTCAGAGACTGATGAATTTATTGAAAGAATGATATAAACAATAAAGAACATTCTCTGTAAATTCTGTAATTACACATAAAACAACTGAAGCAACCTGCTGTCACACACTGAGATTGTGATTAACAGTTAAGATTTCATTATAATATAATAGACATAAGATCATTTTTTCTTTTACATAAATACAACTTAGAGGTTCTGAACTTCTCTGAGATTTTCTGAGAAACCGCGTACACTCACAGCCTTATATAAACAGCAGAGAATATTGTGAGCAAGTCAAAGAAAGTTTGTAAATGAACAGAAACTTCAATGATCAGTATTTAATAAAATTATGAGATCAAGCAAACATCAGAAGAAGTTCTGCAATTTAATATTATATAAAAGATAAAATGTGATTGAATCTCAGAAATATAAAAACAGATCACCTCTTGCATATGCTAGATTATCATCACATCAAATATACAATGCAATGAAGAGAGTGTTAGACATACATGATTATCAACTTAACACTTCACTTGACATCTACAATGTTTTTCATACAAACCTAAATCCAGTCTTTCATTAATTTTTCTATGTATCTATTATATTCTTGACATCATTCAACACTAAACATTCCTCCTGTATAACCAACTCTTGCCTGTATTTAAGATTACACAAGGACTCATCATAAACACTGCTTGCATACAAGTATAATGAAAGAATAATAATAATAATAATAATGATTTTTCTGTGTGGCTTTTAATGTTCTTCCATTCCATGCTCCACATTTGTGTAGTTTTTAATAATTTTTTCATGTAGTCTTTAATGTTCTTCTGCTGTTTTGCATTTCACTGTGAGATGGCTTCTGATATTCTTCTGCTTCAATCTCTTTTCTATAAAAATCCTCTTTATGTGACCTTTTCTTCTGATCTCTTTTCTCTTTCTTTTCTTAATCAATTCGTAATCTGTATTTAGAATAGTGCTAGATCGTTAATCGAAGTACGCTCATTACAGAAAGACAGTCTTTAGAATGAGATATGAACATTTTGAATATGTAGTTATATCATTTGAACTAGTTAATGCTTCAATGACATTTCAAGCATACATTAACAATGCCTTGTCTGATTTGTTGAATATATATTATGTTGTCTACTTGGATGACATTCTCATATTCTCCAATTCAAAGCAGAAATATAAAGTGCATGTTACTAAGATGTTAAAATGTTTCAAGTGCATGAATCTATTTGCAAAACTCTCTAAATGTGAATTTGAAGCGAACAAAGTCCCATTTCTAAGGTTTGTTATAAGTACAAATGGTATTGAGATGGAGTCAGACAGAGTCTTCATTATTGTGAAATGATCTACATCTAAATCAATTAAAGAGATTGAATTCTTTTTGAGCTTTGCTAATTTCTATCAGCAATTTATTAAGTCTTTCTCCTTCATTGCAGCCCCATTATTTGAACTTACAAAAGGGAGTAAGAAAGAGGAAAGAAAAGCCACTTTCATGTGAACAGAAGATGCTCAAAGCATTTTTGGTGAGTTTAAATCATGTTTTATACATGCTTCTCTATTAGCTCATTTTGACTCAGCTCAGTGTATTCAGATTGAATCTGATGCATTCACTTTTACAGTTGCTGCTATTCTGTCACAATTGCAAGATAATAAGCACTGGCATTTAATTGCCTTCTGATCAAGAAAGTTGATTAATGTGAAAATGTGTTATAATATTCATGATAAAGAACTCTTGACTATTGTAGCAGTATTTAAAAATTGAAGACATTATCTGAAGAGAAGTCAGTATTCAATTCAAATCTAATCTGATCATGCCAATGTACTTTATAATATTAAGAAACTGAACAGACATCAATAAGGCTATTCTTGAGGACTCAGCATATACAGAAATGCCTGAATTCTTCACTTCATTTCTGAGTAAAGCACAGAAGATTGATTTTTTTGCTGCTGAATAAAAAAAAAAAAGTTAAAGAAGAAGAGTATGACTGTTGCTGAAAATATATTATAAACAATTTCTGAAAATAATATATTGCATGCTGATGGTCATGCATATGTCCCTCAACAAAAGACATTCATTGATGAAATTATCAGTGCAAATCATGATAATCTGCAGAGGGGTCACTTTGATATAAAAAAGTTCATAAACAGCATTCAGAACAAATATTATTGACATGAAAATAGGTCAGAAATATCAAAAATTATATATTCATTTATGATACTT